TGCTTGCCCAGGGGTCAATGAATCCGGAGGCAGGCGTAGCAGCAACAAGGCCAGAAATCGTGCCCGAGCACCAGCCAACCATGGACCACTTCTTGGCCAGCCTAAAGTCAAGCAAGCACCAAGTCATGGCGGCAAACATGGCGGTCAGACACGAGTTCCAGCAGGCCATGACGGCACGCAGGTTGGCGCCAAAGGCCGAGCCGCCGTTGAAGCCCAGCCAGCCGAACCACAGAAACATGGTGCCGAGGGTGATGAGCGAGATGTTGTGCGGACGGAAGTTCATCATCATCCTCTCGTTGCGGCGGCCCAGCACCCACGAGTAGGCGAGGGCCGACACGCCGGACCCAATCTCGACGGGGACGCCGCCGGCGTAGTCGAGCACGCCGTTCTTGTAACCCCAGCCGTGGGCGTTCCACACCCAGTACGCAAGAGGGCAGTAGACCAGCGTGGCCCAGAAGAAGGTGAAGACCATGCCGGGGATGACGCGCCCTCTCTCGGCGACGGCGCCGACGGTCAGGGCTGCGGTGACGGCGCAAAACATCATCTCGTAAAAGGAGAAGAGCAGCGCGGGGATGAGCGGCGACCCGACCGACGGCGTGGCCCAGACGTTGATGAGGCCAAAGTGCTTGAGGTCGCCGATGAAGCCGTTGTTGGACGTCTGGCCAAAGGCGAGCGAGTATCCCCAGAAGTACCACTGGAACACGATGACGCTAAAGGACATCATGACGACCCAGAGCATGGAGAGGGCCGATTTTCTCCGCGCGAGGCCCGAGTAGAGAAATGCGATGCCGGGGACCATGAGGAGCACGAGACATGATGAGATGATGATGAAGGCCTGGTCGCCCGCCTGATACCACTGGTTGAGGTTTTCGGTCCCTATTTATTCACGAAAACATGGTTAGGATTTGTTCCATCAAATTTTTTTCCCTCATCCTTTTCTGTTACAAGAAACGGCTTCGGAAAAGGATGCTGCGAAACGACAAGTCGGTACATACTTGAATCACCGCCAATCTCATCGTTTGTGCCATTGAACACGGCGGGCGCCCCGAGATGGGCGTATGACATGTTGGAACGAAAAAAGGGGAAAGGATGTCGAGAGAGATTCAAAACCTTCAACCAGCAGAAGAATTTCTACGCCTTGCGCTCGTTATCCCGTCTCAAAATCAGACGTGAATCAGAAAAGTCGTCTTTCTTTCCCGGCCCCGAGTTTCCCGTCTTCTTCCCCAGGGCACCAAAATATCAAAACCGCTAATTGAGAACCGCCGCGTCCGGTTTTTCGCTTTACTGACGATGAGGAGCACACCCAATGGCCTCCAACAACAAGTTACGTATATCGAAGTTTGTAGAGTTGTTAAAGCGAGCAGCGAGGTTTTGTAAAGGCGAGGCAAATAACCAAAAACCAGGAACAGAACCAAAAGTCAGCCACCGGAGGGAAGGGAGGGAATACTCCCATCTATATAAGATAACTACGGCCTACTACTCGGTACAAGTAAAGGGCTTAGGCTAATCTTTTCTTTAATCTCTATTGCTGGAGAGTCATCGGAAGTGCTGTCTGACAAGATAACCTAGCTTAGTCGATATTGGGTTCTGGGGACAAGCAAGTACATGGCGGCATGGGCAAGTTGGCCATAGACGGCGAGGTATAGATAAGGACTTGAAAGTTACCCAAGCTGGCGGCGCGTATCCCTGCTCGGGGGACAAATCCGATGAATGGGGAGCCAAGAAGGCAACTGAAAAGGCGTTCCAAGGACCCGCTTCCTCGGCAGGGCCAATTAGCCTCGGGCTATCGGCGCGAGCATTTTCTATTTTTCTTCTCGGCGGCGCATGTACGGAGTAGGTTGGGTATTGGAGACTGGACGAGGACACGGCCTTATCGTGGGGTGCCGAAAGCGGAGGGGGAGTGCGCGCAGTGGAAGGTGCTGCTTCATTGCTCCTGCTCACGCTTGGGATTCCGGGGAACGCATCTGTTACGAGTGAAGCTTTTACAAATTTTGAGAGTGCTTTGGACGTGATTGAGAACAAGGATCAAGGGACGTGTGATTTATGACAATACTTTTGGTGACACCACAGTCTCCGGTTTCTGCCGTTGCCATCCCAACTTGGACATTGCACTGCATCGGTGCGCATGACATGATTGTCCAGCGTCTGAAATGTTATGCTTAATTTTCCCTCTGTTCCAATGTCCTTGGGCGCATTGATAACTCGGATGCCGGATTTGCTTTTGCCTCAGCCCAAAGCAATCATTGACAACAAGTGTTGACTGTCAGTCGAGTATCGAGAGATCGACGCCTGTCTCACACCCCTGGACGTCGACTTGCGATCCCGGAAACGTCCGCGACCAAGCCTTGTCCAATATCAAGAACACAGTCAGAAGCTAAAGGGTCTCTGGGGTCTTATCTATTTGGGGGCGTGAACCTCGCACCTCAAGACCCGTCCGTACATATCGTATGTATATGCACTCCGTTCCTCCGTCCCGGCACCACGGAGACAACCAGGTGATAAGCCCAACCATTTGCGCAAAAAAAAAAAAAACCCCCTTGGCCAATACAACGACGTCCAGCTCTCGCAATGCGACAATGTCTTTCCGCACAGTCCCATTCTACGCGTCCATGTCTCGGGAGACGGCAACGGGTTGATTTACATTTCTTTTTTTTTTTTTTTTAACTACGCTTTGGGGAGCACATCGTGTGCGCCAAAGACATCAGCAAACGGATCATTCAAAGGGTCCGGCCCATGTCTATACTCCATGTAGTCAGCT